CCTTAATGCATTATCAGTTCGGGTAAACAGGACAAGAAAATGATTAAAATAAAATATACGATTCAATTGTTAAAATTAACATTTCTTAATGCTAATTTCAATTCCCTTTAACAGTTTTTATGCTAATTTCAATTGTTCTTAACAGTTTTTATGCTAATTTCAATTATTTTAACAGTTTATTTTGTTTATTTCAATTAGTAAAAGTGGTTTTTTGTTTACTTTATGTTTTTAATTATGCCAATTTATGTGTATTTTATGCTCATTGTAATTGTTCTTATGCTAATTTTAATTGTTCCCAACCGGATTTTTATGCTAATTTTACTGTTCCTAATAGTTTTTTTTAATGCTTTTACTTCAATTAGCAAGAGTAAATTTTTGATTATTTTATGATTTTAAATTACTGTAAAATTAAAAAGTTAAATGGATACACAACTGAAGTAAATAAACAAAGTATTATTAAATTTATTAAACATACCTTTCATACGTAACTACAGTATAACTGTATAACTTATACGAGTTCGGCGATATGACCAAAGAGATTAGGGGTAAAAATTCCCCTGGGTTCTCTATCCTTAATGCCAAATTTACCCCGATAATAGTCTGTAAACCAATGCTTTTAAGGATTTCGAATAGGGGTAAGATTCGATAAATTATATTCCTTCTAAAATATTAGTCAGTTCTCCTCTACTTACAAAATATAACATGAAACATTTTACTTGTAAAGATAGCACGCTATTGTTCTTTATTATAGTACTTATGCAATATTGCTTTATGAATTATGTGAATTAGCTTTGTACCTTCTATAAAAGTACGAGTAACTAACTGGAATACTGCCTGCTGTTTGAATGTAAGCTTAGACCAATTATTGATGCAATAATCACGATATAACAGTTTATAGCCTTGTGATATGAATATAGTAGCTATTGTTGAGTGTAGATAACAGCAGAATATTATTTTGAATATCTCGGAAACATTTGGATAAAATAGCATAAAGTTGACCAAAGTTTGTCTTGTGATTAGTCTAAAATGAGGCCATATCTTCAGAAATATGACATTTATAAGCGATTATATAATTATTTAATGTATTTTAAATGAACATCAATATTTGAGAGAGATATCTTTATTAAATAATATCAAATTTAACAAAAATTTGAGATAAAATCGTAAAATGGCTTTCATATCACATTTTTCTAATTAACGATTTAAAAAAATCTATGTTAATTTTACAGAAATTAATAAATAATATGCAAAACAACGAGGAGTCCTCTTTATAATATCAAAGATTTAACGATTAAGAGTTTTAAAATGTAAACGATTGGTTACAGAAATAAAAGTAGGCGGAGACACGAACAGTTCTGCCTATATCTGTTTTTATTGACCAATCGTCGTTAAAAATTAATGTGTATTAAAAGTCTTAAATCTTACTTTTTATATTAAGCTGAGAACTACCTAAGTTTAATTTTTTTTCTTTAATTTTATTTATCTTCCCGGTGTTTTTGACATTATTTATTTCATTCTGGCTTACGTATATATAATAATTTATAATATAAAATAATACTTAATTCAGTGATAAAAACTTGTAAATATTAGATGAAGTAGAAAACAAATTTGTCAAAGGAGAAAAAGAATTTATATACACTTTCAATCTAAAAAGTAACGAGTCACTTGATTTTTAATATCGATAGAAGATTTTTCTTACTCGTTTAATTAAAATTCCGTTCAAATTCCACTTAAATATTAATTATAGGAAAATAACAATGTTATCAAATATTTTCTGTTTAGTATTCCCCTTTAGGAAAAAATATCCTCACCGTTATAATTATAGGATTATCTGAACAACTAAAGGTGGAAGTTTAATTTGTGTTTTTTCAGAAAAAAAAAATTATTAATTTTTAGAGGATTTTCCATTATTATTCCCGTTATGCATTGTTGACTCGAGAAAATGTTAACAAATTAAGTATTTTTCAAAATTAAATATAATTTAATTGTATTTAGGGAAAAAACGATTTTCTGGTTGGTTAATTTGAAAAAGACAGTTAAACCTCCAAAGAACAGACACTGACCATTGTTCGGAGATGACCGTCGATTGGAAGTTACAGTATTTTCAAAAAGAAACATTCCTTAAAACATGACTGTCGTTTACAGGTGGTCGTTATTGGAGGTTTGATTGTGTTTAAATCTATTAATTTAAAAAAATTAAAATGATTACAAATGACATTTTAAAGTATTTTCAGTAAAATCTGTGTAAACTAGATTCGAATATTTTTTCCGTTTTGGCAGGTTTCCGTTTTATCAAGGTTCCGTTTTAAACAGGTTTTACTCTATGTAACATTTTTAACTAAAAAAATTATGAACAATTCAATTTTAAAGTTACATTTATTCTTTCATGCTACTAAAGTAATAATTAATGCAGAATTTTACGATGTTTATTGTATTAAAACTTCGTTACCAATGTTACTATCATAAAAATCTATCAATCAAGACAACTTCCACTTGAGAAACGATAAAATGTTTCTTAAGTGAATCCTCTGCCATCCACTACCGTAACAATAAACGTCACAATCGAGTATATAAGCACTACGTTACGCTGTTATAGAAACGATCACTTTAAATAAATGCATTATAAAAGCAAGGCTATTACAGTAACAAGTATCATTTTGTAGTAAATATACTCTGTAAGTCATATTATTACTATTATGTTACTATAGTTACAAGATTTTATGGAAGTTTATGTTACTCTATACGCGATATTTTATAGAATTTTACATTTAATAAAAATCCAAGTGTATGATGTCGAATGAAGGTACTTTAATATTGTTATTTATGATCGTTACGCTGCTGTAGTAACAGGAAAAAACCACGTGAATAATAAATTATTTCATAAGTTATTTTAAAGTGTTTTTTAAACATTAATTTATATTGTGTTTAATTATTTAATTACTGAATGTTACTAGAGTAACATTAACAAAATGCTACTAGAGTAACATTTTCGTATTTAGGATGATGTAAAGCTACAATTAAATTAAAGAAAAATTAGAGAATACCTCCAATTTTCAAAATTAATTTTCGAAAAGACATACAGACGAACTGCCAATAACGGCCACCTCTAAACGACAACCATATTCTCAGGGTTGTTTCTTTTACAAATGTATACAAAATAATCTCTACACAAAGACTCTATTTTTTAATATTCCCGCCAGTGTCCGTTGTTCAGAGGTTCATATATTATTATTATGTTACTGTATCAGTAAAAACAATAAATAACATTTTTTAAAAATACACAAGTTTACAAAAAATACAAAAATTTATTAACTTTGACACCAACTAAAGTATCAAAATTGAACTTCTCAACCTCCGACATCTTTGAGTGTGTTAAAGCTATCTCATCCAAAATCCTGAGGATCGCGATCAACCGGTTGAAAGATAAGCGTTAACATCACGCTTTATCCTCCCCGAAAAAAAAAAAAATGACGCCTCTCTGGAACAAAATGAAAAGTATGTCAGGATGGATAGTAGGATTGTTTCCAATTTTTTTTAAAAAAGATAAAATTTTGAAAAGTAGCAGCATGATAGCCGATATTTTTACTGGAATTTAATATTTATCACTACTACTTCCCAACGCTATATATATACTTTTTCCATCTTTTTCTCTGCAACGTTTCCTTAGGCGGATTCACAATTGACGCAGATATATGGTCGTCGATAGAAGCTCTTTATTCTAGTGACAGAGTATCTTTCCCGGATTGTATACAAGATAATCTCTTTGTTGTAGCATTCCAACCGGGCACCTGATTGATAAGTTGTGGTTGTAGTAAACATCCTCCCTCGTTTACATCCTTACAAATCAGCCTTACAACTTTGAATATCTTTTTCTAAGCTGGTTTACTACATTAACATAGCATCCTCTTGTTTTTACATTCTCATTTTTCAATGTTTTTACTATATCAACATTTTGAACGCTTGCTTTATAAAAAATAACCAAAATTTTTATGCTTTTATATTGAAATTCTTACGTAAATTAACATTACTTGATAAGTTTTTAAAATTCTGTTTAGTTCTTTAATTATTTACAGAAGTATTACAGACACAACTCTAGTACGAGTTAATTTTTCTGTAAGTAGCAGTCTGACGTTCCATTCTGTTTTGGCAATTTTTACTTTCGCAAAAATTTATTTAAATAGCAAAACCGAGCAATCTATCCTGTAGTAATTTAAACAATCCAAAAATTTAGCAATTTTGGTGTCTTTGTAATTATTTGACAAAATTCAAGGAATATAAAAGGTTAGAAAAACTTTCTAAAAAATCACTTAAATTATATAATTTTAAACATAAATTTTTATATTTTCTAAAATAATTATATTTATTTTAATAATTACAGTGTAAAAATAATGTACAGTATGGGAGTAATGTAGAACTTGAGGAAAGAAGAAGCGCCATCTGTATACCGAGATGAAAGTTATTTTAAAAAGTTAAAGTTATTTAAAAAAAAAAAATTGACAAAATCTATCAAAAATTAGGAACAATTTAGAAATATGGATTAATTATGTTTGAAGAATTAAACTTTTACAGAAATTTTTCACTTTCTTACTTTTAAACGCAAGTAGTCCAATTATCAGTTTTATCCTCTTTAGTCCCTCTCGAGGATGAATCGAAACAATACAATTAAGAAATTTTCTCATAACTTAATTGAATTATATAATAATGTTCAGTAGAATTGTAGTGACAAGTGAAGTGGAATAGGAAAATATCGAAAATAAAATATTCTTATTCGTTCAATTATGGATAAGCAAACAAATTATTGAGTTTTAAGTCCCAAATTGAGGTTTATTTCTCTTGAGGAACTTCAACTTCGACTCGGTTCACTTCATTTTCAATTGAAAGTTTTAATCAGTGACGAGTAAGACACGAAATAATGGCTAAGCAGAAAGATAATATAATCTTCTACCTTTACTTTCATCGGATAATGTCAAGTTAAAGTGTAATTAGCGATAACGCATGCCAGAAGCGTCACGTTTAAAAAGTTCGTCTTCTTTTTACTGAAAATTATCTAAAAGATAACGAAGAGATAATGAAACAACGTTCAGATAAGTTTAATTAATCTCAGATAATATAACAATGAAAAAAAAATTGATCAGTTTCGCATTGATGTCATTTTCGAAACACGTGTTCAAAAATAACGTTACTTTTTAAAATAATAATAATTTTAAAAAATGTCAAATTGTAATACGTGTTTGAAATGGATGAAATTTAATATTGGCGCCCTCTGGTAACCAGTAGTACAGAACTGGATAATTATTATATGTAAATAATTAATAATGGTAAGCACGTGTTTAAAATTGACGATATTCTACAATATGCCGTTTTATTTCACGTGGTTCTACGTGTTAAACGTTGATTAAAGATTACAGGGCCAACCTAAAGGGCCCAGTAATATTTTAAGTAATGCTGAGCACTCAAAGTTGCATAACTAAGTGGTGCAATCTTTAACATAGGTACAACTTAGAGTTGGCACCATGTTAAAAATTATAATTTTTTTAATATTATGAAATCATATAACTAAACAGATAAATTATAAGGTTATGTTAAAACGTGTCCATTTTTTATGCATAGTAATTTTTTAAAATAATTCGTTAATTTATGTGGTAGACCAAAAGTTGGTTATCCAATATAAAATCCTTAAATCTATTTTACAAATAATTAAAACCAATTTATAACAGTTGTATATATTCAAAATAATTATTTAAAACAATGGAGTCAGGTTATTTATCCAATTCTTACTTAATTGCATTGTAGAAAAATAGACGAAAAATCAATTTTTCTTTGTGTTCTGACTTATGGAGGGTAGGTAACTCCAAATTTCTAAAACATTATATCAATAATGAAATAAAAATTAAAGTTAAAAAAAAAGGTAAAAGCAAACCCAATTGCAGAGAAACACTTTATTACATTTTCATACTCCCTAAATGCATTTTGCCAAGAAAATTAGACCTCCTCAGTAGGGTTATCAACATACAGTTAAAACATACAAAGAAAATATTAAATAATTCGTATAAACAATTCATATTGAATAGATATAAAGTGAAAGAGGAACAAGAAACAAAACAGTTGTCCAATCTGATGGTTATAAGAGGCATTAAAAAGGATCCATTAGAAGAAGGAGTGGTCTACAGACTTGAATGCAAATATAATGTCATATGTTTCTATATTGGTGAAACGAAGAGAAATTGAAGACCAGATTGTCAGAACATTTAGCAGCTGCAAGATTAAAAATGAATAATTCTGCTATCATTCATCATTGTTGTATTAATAATTGTTAAATTAACATTAATAATGTAAAAATTGTTTATAGGGGGAAAATAATGTAAGAAGAAAAGTTAAAGGACATTTTGGCATAATTATGCAAAAATAACACTGTTCATTTGAATACGGGTATGTTGACAGCTGCATGCTAGGAGACTTTTGTCGGATATATAGATGGAAATTTGTAATGAAAACTGATAGTACTGGGCGATTACCTAAAAAATAAAATTCGATTACAGAAATCGATTACCACACCTTTAATAATAAAAGTGATTATTAAGTTAGTAAAACACTATTATTTTTAATAATACTTGTTAACAAAAAGATCACTCACAGATTTCACATTTTTATAGAACACTAGCTGCAAGGATCCGCTTCCCCGGGTTTTTATTTGCATGTAATATAGTTTATACATATATATATATATATAAAAGACTGTTTTTCTAAGTAACGTAGAATCTAGCTGCAAGGACCCGCTTCGCTGGGCAAAAAGTAACGATAGTGAAGATTAAGATAATTAGCCTACATTATAGCTAATCTTACCCGTTTTCACAGAATGCAAGAATTAGGTCCCCCATTTCCAGACTAATTAGAGAATTTTTACGTTTAGCCAAACGAACTATTTTCAACGTTTCTGAAACGTTTACAATCGTTTTATAATCGAACCAATATTCGAATTTTATGTTCGAATTAAATTCGAACAAAACATTCGAAATAGAAAGCCACTTTCAACCACTTTCAGCCTCATATCTCCCCACCCTTATAGCTATCGAGACGCAACCACCCCTATGCACGAATGGAGACTTGAGGCTACCACCACATACAAACACCATTCACGTACGATGTGTAGTTTTAGCGGAAAAGTGAAATATAGGGACATACATGTCCATTTATATATATA